TTGGTGCGCGCCACGCCTCGGGCGCCCTTCTAATTCGCTGATTCATTTGAAAGCTCATTTAGAGGGAAGCGTGGTTTATAGATGCTCTAGTATCAGTCATCTTACGAAAACGTAACGTGCTGGCTATTATCCGATATTACCAAGAATCCCACTGTCGGCCACCGAGAGGGTACGACCCCCCCCCCCTCCAAGCTCAACTGAGTACGACCCCCCGTTGTTACTCGTAACAACGTAGGGTTGACCCTGGGTGGGGGTGAGGGCGAAAAGTGGGTGACACTTTTCTCGTACGGCAAAGGCTTGAGCATTTTACCCATTCCCTTGCCTTGAAAAGAAGATGAGTAGAAAATTATACACATCCCTCCTCCTCAATTCCCAAAGCTACCCTCAAAGTAAGGTGGATGTGCAATACTGCCAAAAACGTGATTGGCGGCTCTCATTTCTCCTAATTTCATTTTTTCGGACTGTTCTGTTCAGCTTTCCTCTCCTAACAGCATTTTCCATGGCTCTCATAAGCTTCAGTGTTGAAATTAGGCAATGCTCAGTAGAGCTCAGTCGAGTAGAAGTAAAGGGACATGTGCTAAATCCATAACTATTCCAGGTTCTATCCAAATTGTCGTTCGACGGCGCTCGATTGTGGATATGCGCATCCGTTCTGTAGCGAGGACGAATGTGAATGTGCCGAGGAGAACAAGGATCCACAACTCAACCACTGGATCGCTCCGAATCGGTACGAGTTCAACTGGATCATTGCTATCATAAAGTGTCTCAGAAATCATGGATTGATCCCCTTTACCCCTGAAACCCTTTGAGCTCCTCTAAGAAGTGCTTACCCACTTCCAAACGTGGTGAAACGGGTGAAACGTGTAATTATAAAGTTTATTCACTTTCACATTTGATACATGTAACAGCATTGAGCGTTTCAAGGGGATTTCCTACGATACGATCAGAAATCGAGAAAGGGGAAAAATAGTTGGTAGAGAGGCAGGCGTCCCTCCTTCACCCCTAGGTTACAGGACGATGTGTTTCGCAGCGAAGTGTGTGCCCCCAGGGACTTAGCGCCGTACCCGCGACGCTGCACGCCCACTGGTAGATCCTCCTCGCCAGACGCTGCACGCCCTCTGGTAGATCCTCCTCGCCGTTTAGCCGAGGGAGCGTTAGCGTTGATGAGGGCAACACCGATATGCCTCCAATAGCGAGCAGATCAACGGGTAAAACTAGGGTCCCGTTTCGAGGGTTATAGACCGTTTCCTTCAGTTTTTCTTTACTGTGCACCCCTCAGTAGTCCTAGCTTCATTTCCAGCGGAATAACTAATTTATCGCAAAATCTACATTTACGCAGATCGTACACCCCACACTATGTCACTATGTACGGTATGCCGAAGCATTCCCCAAGGGCGATTGTGAACCCATGCCTGGACAGGCCGCATTTCGGCGCATACTTCATATGGGTGCACTTGTTAGTGGTTTTCCTATTGCTTTTGCAGCATA